TCCTAGCCATGATTTCATTCTTCTCTTGTGTGGTCATGATGATCTCCTTCTTTAGCCTATCACTTCTCCTCCTCTCTTGTTGCTGAGCTTCAGCACCAAGCTATGGAGCATCTTCCTTGTCAAGTGCAAGCTCACTCAACTTTTCATCTAGATGCCCTCCTTGTCTGTTGACAGGATCAGCTAGGATTTGCTCATTCTCAAAGAACCAAACTTGTTTCTTAACCTCCCCTTCCATATCCTTAGAGCAGCCTTGACCACTATCCCCATAAGCATCTATCTTCCTAAGTTTATCACTCAGTGTTTCACTCTTTGTGTTAGATTCTTCAAAAGTATTTGGGATATGCACTTTGTCATCCTCACCAGTTGCATTTACTTGTAGTCTGAAGACCTTCTGTGCATCACCCATCACTTTGGATCCTCCAGTGTTCCCACTACCCATTTTTTGGGGGAGCAGAGGCCTCCATTTTCTCACTTTGGCTTTGACTGTTATTCCCAGCCCCCATTCTATAGAATTTGCCTCCAGATTTTGTCCACCTGATTGATGTTTGACCCTAGGGCAAACTGGTCATTAGATTTGAACTTCTTAGGAGAGGGCTGATGGTCCTTCTCCCCCACCTTGATTCCACAATTAAGAGTTCTTTCACCTTCCTCAACCACCACTTCTCTTTCATATGTGAATTCATGGATGAACAGGCCTAAAGTGCTCTAAGCAGTTCTTGGAACCTTGGTCACATCCATGCAAGCAACTCTCATCCTAACATAATCATGCCAAAATCTTGTTGCTTCATCAATCTCCAAGACCTTGCCAACAAGTCCACCAACTTTAGCCACAGTTCTAACAGAGCTTTGATCTGGTGGGATATCATGAACCCTGAACCAAGTCTGTTGGAGCATCCCCTTGGTTCCCAAACAAGGAGTCTTGGCCTCTACCTTCATTTGAGCATCTGCACATTCCATTGGCAGGAACTTGAAGTGACACCACTGACTTAAGAGCTTGGTACTTGGATACCTCATAACAAATTTCTTTTCCCCTACAGATATTGCCTTCCACTTCCAAGTGTGTGACCCAAGTTAGTAAACTCAAGCTCAATCTGTTTGCTAGAAGCAACCCCCTAAATAATGGTAATGATGGCAGTGCTCTCCTTCTCCCTAGCAACTTTTGGGTCAATGGTTTCTTCAATAAAGAAGAAGCTCTGATCCTCAACTTGGGTGGCACACAATTCAGGGGCAACATTCCATGGAACACACCTTTTACAATTATAAGTTACATGATTTCCCAAACCACAAAACTCACAATTCTGCCTTCTATAGTCCTTGGATAGATGGTTGAATAATCCATAGAACTCACAAGGTAGCTGTCAGGGTTTTGGAGACCTACTAGTGAATTTATATGAATGCCACGCTGCTCTAGAAGACGATGGTAGCATCCAAAAGACACGAGGAGTTATACTAGTTCGGGCCAGAGCCCTACGCCCAGTCTCAGAGATGATCGAGTGCGTGTCCCTCACTTGAATGCTCTAAAGTTCTTACAATGGGAGGTGCAAGAATGGTGGAAGAGGTAGGCGAGCTAGAGCTAGTAGACAGACTGCTTGAAGGAAAGCTTCGAGAGTCTAGAGAGTGTATAGATGATCCTTAGAAGGGTGCCCTGGCTGCCCTTATATAGAGTCCGAGGGCAGGCCACATACAAAGAAGAAGGTTCTCCCGACCGAGGGGTCATGAGCCAGAAGGAGGGGGCCTATCTAACTTGTCTTGCAACTAACGCCGTCTTGCGGTGCACGTCCGAGCGTGGCTATCGTCATGGTCTTGTGCCCATGTCACGGCATGGTGTGACATGGTGCTACAGTGCCGGTCATGGTGGCACTATGGGCATGGTGATGTTTTGTCAGCCATCCTTCACGAACGGTGGTCTCGCCATGGCCTTCGTCATCGCCTCCTGATCATCCGGGGGCGTCGTACAGTAGTTGGTAACCGCCCCCGGGTCACCGATTGTCTTGCTGTTGGTGGAGTTGGTGGCCACGATCCCAGGCTCTTAGGTCATGGTTCCTGCTAGCTTGGGTAACTTCAAAGTCAAGGCCACCATCGTGGATCCCATCTCGTAGTGGGTGGAATTGTACATACGTCTCGTCGGGACGTATTTGGACGATGGGTCTCCGTACTAGCCATCACCGCTTTGTGGTGTTGTCTTGTCTATGTTGCATGGTGCAGGGATGGCGTCTGACAGGGCTAAGGTGACTGCTATCCCCCTCGGTCCTTGCGGGGTCAGTGTGGCATGCCTGCTTTTGTTAGAGTAGGAGTGCTAGGTGGGCTCGATCTCTCCCCGTTCCCCCAATGGTTGGGACGGTGAGAGGTCATGAGATGTTGCGTAGTGTGTGGTTAAGGCAGAGGGAAGGGGTCGTGGCAGACCCTGGCCTTAGTGTTTGGCCTAGCCCACTCAGCTTAACTAGGCCTTGATCGTTTGGGCTTATACAGGCTGGCATATTGCGGGCCGCCTGAGTGGCTAACTAATCGGTGTCTTGAGATACCTAGGGTATTATAACCCTGATAGTACCCGATTCTAATTTTCCTGAGGCCCTCTAGCCTGGTTCCCTCTAGTTGGAGCAGGAGCATTGGAGTTGGTGTTCATACCTTGAGTTTTTGGTGTTGCCCTAGATGAATCAGCAGCATCCTTACCCCACTTCTCCTTTGGTTGCTCATCAGTCTTGGCATGCTTTTCCCAACGCTCATCACCCTTCCCTTGCTCTACATCATCTTCAACATGATGCTCTTGGTATTGGTTTATCATATATGTACCCGACTGATCTTCAACCAGTTTTGCCATTCTTTCCCAGACATTCACCCTGGCTTCGGTCTGGCCTCCGCCGCGACCCTAATGCCTGGCTCCAAAACCATCTCTCGCAAAAAACCCTCCTACAACCGCCACCACGATTCATCACCTAGATGACTTTGGCAGGAGTTGATTGAAGGGCTGCAACGTAAGATTTGGTGGGGGTCCATGCCACAGGTGCCCAACAATTTTAGAGAGACTAAGGATTTTTTTACCCTAGGTTACGGCAGCTAATTTGTGGACTTCTGAATTGCCCCACTGCCATATTTGGGGGATGAGGTGGGGAGGAGGGAATGCGGTGCCCTAACTCAGGGTCACCCCCAACCTCCCAGTCACCATCCTCTAGATCTATGATGCGTGTACCGTGACAAGGTCCTGACCCTAGGATCCCAGCGGTGAGCTTCACCTTTGGGGTGGTCGGAACCAGCGTTCCACCTGGACAATGTCCACCGTCATCTTCTTGTTCGAATCCATCCTTCCCAAATCCATCTTCTCCCCACCCTGGTTAAGCTTGCCACCATTGTTCGGCTAGCAAAACTCGAGCGGAAGCTCTTTGAGCTTAACCTTCCCGTCCTCAACGCTGTCGAAGGGGAAGGACTCACCTCAATCCAAATGCTTGATGCTTCTCCGAGACAACGCCAAAGGCAGAGTAACACCACATGTCTTCCCCTTCCTGCGGCAGCTTTCCACAAGTGTCCAAAAATCCTCTTCCCTTCGCTTTGGGTAGGACCACGCTCTGCGCTCTCCTCCTTGAGGCCACCTCGACTCAGCTCTCTCCCTCGACACCGGCGAGGAAGGCACAGGAGCCCCTATTGCCGTGGGGGGCAAGAACGACCTAACCGACATCTGACCTTCCCCTCGATGTAACCTTTTGTTGCCCTATTAGCTTTGATCCCTAACTATTCATCAGCAACGCTTGCGGTCTGTCGTGTCCAACTTCTTGCCTTCCACCTCGTTGGCAAGTGGCAGTGCAGTCAAAGGTCACCGGATCTGGACTTACACCGTTGCTGGCTCTCATTGGGAATGTGGACTCTCACCGGGTGGCACAAGCCGGAGTGGAGGAGACGGACGGAAGGAGGAAGAGCAGATTTAGTCGCACTTGATGAGATGGCTGAGCGAGGATGGAGAGGCTTGCTATTAGCGTCCGTGGCACCTCGTCGACAAGAGCTGCACAACGCCTGCAGCACCTCAACCTCCTCGACAACAATAGGGCACGTTTTTGCCGCCACAGGAGGAGGCCATCTAGATCCAGGAGTTATGGAAAGGCAAGAGGTTGAGCGAGGCACACGCACAGTCACTGTGATTGAGTGTGATTTCTAGGGGAGGCAGTGGGGCCACCATAGCAGAACCGATCATAGGAATGCCGGGAGGAGCCATTGCGCTGGGGAGGTGATGGAAAACAAGGTAGACGATTGCTCAAGGTGCTTTTTAGTTGTACGGATGAGAAGAGATATCTTAGTCCTACCCACCAGGCCACCACTCGATAATTTTTTTTTGTTGGGAGAAAGTGCCGGTCCTGAGTTTTTCGGGGCCTGGAGACAACTAAAACTCAAGACCTTTTATAAACATAATTTTAAAATATGCAACACGTATATATAAAATTTTATCACACTCAACATGTATCAAAAAGCAATATTCATATGAAATAACTATACATATCAAATTACCTTAAAAAATCTTCTAATGTTCCTTGATGAAAAGTCGTTGATGATGGCATCAATATCAATCCCATCCAATAATTTCTTCTCAGTGAACAACAAAATTTATCCTTCAACCCTCTTTGTGATTCTATCAACTCATTTACTCTTTTTTCTGTTTTTCTTTTTCTTACTTCCAGAAGAATACTTTCTCATATTGCTGAATTTTAGGGAAAAACAATTAGTTAGTAAATAAAACAGAAAAAAAGTATCAGAGACAGAATAATGTGATCTGACTTTTGGTATAGTTAGTACGTGTGGCCGTTGCTGCCTCACAATCTAGATACTCCCCCAGACGCAGCCAAATGACAGCCTCTTGGAGATCCCAGGCAGCAAAGAGAGCATCTTTCACGCTACACCGGCTTGCCAATATGTGCACACCGAAGGGCTTGGTGGTTTCCACAGGCTGGCACACCAACCAATACACCACGACTCAGACAATAGAATCATCACGCAGTTGAAAGTCCGAGGAACTAGGGATGAAAGGGAGCAAAGTCCATGAGCACGAGACCGACGTCCCTGCCTCTGAGCTATGGGCAATCTACGGCTCGCTCCTCGCCACGAAACTCCTGCCGGAGCTGCTCCCGCACGTGCTTGCCAAGGTCGAGCTCGTCAGCGGTGACGGCGGTGTTCACCACTGCAGACGCCCTCTTTGCCGAGTGCTGGGGGCACTCGGCAAAGCCAGCCAAGCACTCGGCAAAGCCTTTGCTGAGTGCCGCACTCGGTAAAGGTCTCTCGGCAAAGATTTTATCAGCAAAAATTTCTTTACCGAGTGTAAAAAATCGACACTCGACAAAGCCTTTGCCGAGTGCCCGACACTTGGCAAAGTTGGAACCGAAAAAAACCCGAAAAAATAGGAATTTTTACCCAAAAAAAATGGAAAATTTGTTTTAATTGGTGGAGGCCCCACCGGTCAGCGCCCATCCATCTCCGGCTTTTTTCGCGTAAATTTCACGGCTACGTAGCCGACGGGATTCGAACCCGAGACCTCCCGCTGCGCACAAACCTCCTCTACCACTACACCACACTGTCACTTGTGTCTGGATTCCGTTTTAGTTCCTAATATATTATACTAAACCGAGTGTAAATTATTTGTTTAAGGCCCTAAACGAATTCAAATAAAAAAGTTGTGAACTACAAAGTTTCATAACTTTTCGAGATCTACACTTTTAATTTAGGAAGTTTTTCCATTCAACGTCGTTTACAAAATTTGAATTTTAAAATTTGGAAATTCAAACACAGTTTTGCATGACAAGATGTTTTCAAATCAAAAAGTTGCCAACTATAATGTTTCATAACTTTTCGAGATCTACAGAGTTTATTTTGGTTGTTTTTCCATCCGAGGTCTTTTGAAAAATTCAAATTTTCAAATTTTCAAATTCAAACGTCGTTTTTGCATGACAAAATGATTTCAAATCAAAATGTTGCCAACTACAAAATTTCATAACTTCTCAAGATCTACAAAGTTTATTTTGGTCATTTATTCATCCGACATAGTGGTAGTAACATTGTTCACAAATCATATATATCTCTCTTCTACTTTAATGAAACTAACATGAGAGATATATATTTTATAAACAACGTTATTGTCGCTTTGTCAAATGAAGAAATGACCAAAATAAACTTTGTAGATCTTAAGAAGTTATACAACTTTGTAGTTGAAAAGTTTTTCATTTGAATTCATTTAGGGCCTCAAAAATTGATTCGAAAAACTGATTTGTCGAGGGCAAAAAAATGCACACGGCAAAATGCCTCTTTGCCGAGTGCCAAAACATAGGCACTCGGCAAAATACGGCTTTTGCCGAAAGTGCGTAAAAAAAGGCACTTTCGGCAAACTTAGAGTAAATTGCTTGTTTGAGGCCCTAAATGAATTCAAATCAAAAAGTGGTCAACTACAAAGTTTCATAACTTTTTGAGATCTACAATTTTCATTTAGTAAGTTTTTCCATCCGAGGTCGTTTGAAAAATTTGAATTTTAAATTTAAGAGATTCAAACGTAGTTTTGCATGATAAGATGATTTCAAATCAAAAAGTTGTCAACTACGTAGTTTCATAACTTTTGGAGATCTACAATTTTCATTTAGGAAGTTTTTCCATCTGAGGTCGTTTGAAAAATTCAAATTTTAAAATTTTCAAATTCAAACGCCGTTTTTGCATGACAAGATGATTTCAAATCCAAATGTTGCCAACTACAAAATTTCATAACTTATCAAGATCTACAAAGTTTATTTTGGTCATTTGTTCATCCGACATAGTGGTAGTAACATTATTCACAAATCTTATATATCTGTCTTCTACTTTCATGAAACTAATGAGATATGTAGATTTTATGAACAACGTTATTGTCGCTTTGTCAAATGAAGAAATGACCAAAATAAACTTTGTAGATCTTGAGAAGTTATACAAGTTTGTAGTTGAAAAGTTTTTCATTTGAATTCATTTAGGGCCTCAAAAATTGCTTCGAAAAACTAATTTGCCGAGGGCCAAAAAAAAAAATGCACACGGCAAAAAGCCTGTTTGCCGAGTGCCAAAACAAAGGCACTCGGCAAAATACATCTTTGCCGAGTGCCAGAAAAAAACACTCGGCAAAGACGTATTTTGCCGTGTGCCAAAAAATAGCACTCGGCAAAATACATCTTTGCCGAGTGCCAGAAAAAAACACTCGGCAAAGACGTATTTTGCCGTGTGTTTTTGTTTGCCGAGTGTATTTTATTTGACACTCGGCAAACACGGTCTTTGCCGAGTGCCCGATAAAATACACTCGACAAAGTCTCCAGCACTTGGCAAATCGCCGGTTTCCGGTGGTACCATTTTGAAGCTAATATTTCCACCACGTGAGAGAAATTAAGTCTATAAAAGACACACACACATTATTCATGTTGCTGGATATGCTAACAGAGTATGTAGTAATTTTTAATTGCTCTGCTCTTGCTAGGGATTCCTCGACTGCATAGTTACACGGAGAAGTTCATCAAAGTAGACAATGAGAATTATATCAAGGAGGTCGAAGCCATCGAAGGTGACATTCTAAAGCTGGGGTTCATGTACTACATGGTACGGCTTGAGATCATTTCAAAAGGGTCCAACTCATCAGTGATAAGATTCACTATCGAGTATGAGGTTGATGATGCTCACCCAGAGCTTGAAGCTATGGTGGGCATGGCAGCTTTTGCTGCAACTGCTGAGAAATTTTCGGAGCATGCCAAGGAGAATAAGGCCCCTCAGGCTACCTATTGAAAAAAATCTCAAGGCCTGAGTTTATGTTCATCATGAGGGATGAATGAACTAAAGTTTCTGCGTGTTTATTTTTTGTTGCGTTTCAAATAATAAATACATTGTAGTGAAGGGGAATCATGTTCGTACAAATCACAAATACATTTTGTTTGGTTTGGTCTACTACAGCAGTCCACCATATTCACCATTTTAAAGCTCCTGGGGGCGGTTTTATGACAATGTTTTTTTTTTCTCGAACGTGTCACGTTTTTCATTTAGAGGTAGGAGAGTTTTGCACTAACTCCCAAAGCACAGGTAATCCAAAGATTACTGGTACTAATAAGATAAGCTAAGCATAAATACATAACAAAGACGTGACAGTTCTAGCTCAAGCAAACAAAGCCACCAAGCTAAGCTAAGAAACCAGCATAGGGAGTAGAAAACTCAAATGACGCAAGGCCGCCTGATCCCAAAGTCTAGCTTCCTCAAGGATTGAAAGGGAGGGAGCTGACGTCAAGCTGGATACAGGGCCTTAGCCAAAACGACCAACCTTAGCCAAAGCACGATGTCGAACGACGCAATTCTATCAGGCCTAGCCCACCGAGTATGCGTAGGAGACACATAATTGACTAGGCAACCAGGCATTTCCCGCTAGCACATGCGTCAGTTCCGGTCTAGAGGAAAGCCTATGGAGCTTGTCCATGGTGTCCATAGCCCAGAGCGCTAGACAAAGTGCAATTAAATGGTGAGTTAGTATGGCCAAAAGAACGACCCATGCAAGCGTAGTATCCTGGCCGGCCAAGTTCATCATCTTGCCCTTCCAGGAGGGGATGCAACTCGCAACTGCATCCATATATGAGAGGCTGCTCCTCAGCTTTCTTTAGCTTGTAGATGGTCAATGGGATTCAAAGGTAGTGGCAAGGGAAATGAGACACCTTACATTGCAGCACCTTCTAGAGCAGCGCAATCTCATCGTTTGAACAGTGTATCGGTGTTTCCACACACTTGTCTAGGTTCAAGGACAACCCAGCTGTCTCACCGAAAATGTTAAGGATCTTCTGAAGCACGAGCAAGTCGGTCGAGCATAGTGCAACGAAGATAACCATATCATTGGCATGCAGTGAGGCACGATGATGGATCGCCTCATCTCCCAACGGTTTTAAGAATCCCTGTCGGTCAGCCAGACGGGTTAGGCCGTAGAGGGTCCTCCATAGCCATGACAAATAGCGCGGGAGAAAACTGGAGCCGAAGCCTGCGTGCATGATATATGTGTCTCCTAGGGCGGCCATTGAGTAGAATCTTTGCCCGTGCTGTGGGAAGAAGGATGGAGATCCGCTCCCTTGATCTTCTGGTGAACCCAACAAACTACAGAACCTCCAGGAGGAAAGGCCAAGACACCGAGTCAAATGTTCTCTCCATGTCAAATCTTCAGAAACGCAGTTGCCAACTTTTTCCTTTGGAGCAGCTTGCAAGTCAATTGTACCTTCAGAAATTGTCGTGAGTCCCTTGATGAAGGCACTTTTGTTCGGTTTCACCATCTTATGCATAGCTTTGGCAAGCTGGTAGCAAAGTGCTTCGCTTCGCTCCTCTCCAAGCTCAGACTTCTTTCTTTATAGTATCATGTAGGATAGTTTAGGAGGTAGAAGCCTTTGTAGTCAAGCGACCAGAATGCATGGAAGGCGTTCATGATGTCAGCCTTGATGATTATTGACCTGCTTATAGAACAAGCCCAGAGCGCCAGACAAAGTGCAATTAACTGGTGACTTAGTATGGCCAAAAGAATGACTGATGCAATCCTGGCTGGCCAAGTTCATCATCTTGCCCTTCTAGGAGGGGATGCAACTCACAACCGCATCCATGAGAGGCTGCTCCACAGCTTTATTTAGCTTGTAGATGGTGAATGGGATTCAAAGGCAGCGGAACGGGAAATGAGACACCTTACATTGCAGTACCATCTATAGCAGCGCAGTATCATTGTTTAAAAAGTGTATAGGTGTTGCCACACACTTGTCTAGGTTCATGGACAACCCAGCTGTCACCTTGAAAATGTTATGGATCTCCCGAAGCATGAGCAAGTTGGTCAAGCACGGTGCAACAAAGATAACCATGTCATTAGCGTGCAGAGAGGCATGATAATGGATCACCTCATGTCCCAACGGTTTGAAGAATCCCTGCCGGTCAGCCAGATGGGTTAGGCCGTTGAGGACCTCCATAGCCATGACAAACAACATGGGAGAAATCGGGAGCCGAAGCCTGCTTGCATGATAGATGAGTCTCCTAGGGTGGGCATTGAGTAGAATCTTTGTGCTTGCCATGGAAAGAAGGATGGAGATCCACTCCCTTTGATCTTCTGGTGAACCCAATAAACTACAGAACAACCATGAGGAAAAGACAGGACACCCAGTCAAATGCTCTCTCCATGCCAAATCTTCAGAAGCGTAGTTGCCAACTTTTTCCTTTGCAGCAGCTTTCAAGTCAATTGTACTTTCAGAAATTGTTGTGGGTCCCTTGATGAAGGCACTTTTGTTCACTTTCACTATCTTATGCATAGCTTTGGCAAGCTGGTAGCAAAGTGCCTCACTTCGTGCCTGTCCAAGCTAAGACTTCATTCTTTGTAGGATCGTTTTGGCAGTAGAAGCTTCTGTAGTCGAGCGACCAAAATGCATTGAAGGCATTCATGAAATTAGCCTTGATGATTGACCCACTTATAGAACAGGCCAACAAAACCGTCGGACCCAGGCGTCTTATCCGATGAGATGTCGTTAACAACATTCAAGGCTTCCTACTTTGAGAAGCATCCATCGAGCAATATGAGGTAAAGCACTGATAGCCCGACCATGTCAAAAGCCACCCTAATTGCATGGACAAAGTTTGTCCCAAGAATGGCATCAAAGTTGGCAAACAGCGCCTCAGCGATACCCTCATTCCATATGATCTTTGTTCCCTTGACATTGAGCGAGCTTATATTCCATGATCGGTGACAGGCCTGCAGGTGGAAGAACTTCATGTTTGCATCTCCATCACTGACTGGATCCTATAGCGCTGCCTAGCAATACTTCATGCGAGTGATGCATGACATAGGCATTTCATCTTCAACTCATTGCACAACGCTCCTTCCTTCGATGACAAAGTTCTTATTTCCTTGGCCATGTTGAAACACAGGATGACTTTGCACTACTATAGATTGAGCGATCACTGTCGCCACTTTCACTACCGTAGAAGATAGAAGCGACGGTGTGATACTTCCACCTTCGGTTGGATCGATAGCGAGGCCTAGAAAGGAATCAAACCGACAAATGAAACTTCTAGCACTGACGGTTGAACCATCGATGTGGCGGTGCTAGTGGGTTGAATTCCACCATCGTTTGGAATGCCGAGCTAACAGAGATACGCGTTGTGGCCGCTAGCCCTACACGACCGTTTGGTCTACCGGCGGTTAATTCGGCGTCAGTGTTCAATGCCCCAACTTCCAACACTGTCTCACCACTTCTACCGAGAACCGACGTACCTCGTATTCCCTTATACGTATGTGTATATCACAGATCTTAACTGCTCATTTCCGCTTCTCCATCTTCAAGGTTGACCTATTTAAGCTAGGTCTGTTGACACCAAAATTTAGTTTTTAAAGAAAGGACCCCAAGATCTAAATTCATCAATAGAAAATCGAGATATTCAACAAACATCGGCTAGTGAAATTGCCATCAAAATGAAGGTAACGTCGTCATTGTAAGGGAGTAGGCCCTATCGGCAGGATCAGCAGGGCACGAAGCTAGAAGACGCATCAGACTTCATAGAAGGGGAAGATTGAAGTCCAAGTTATCGTAATTTAGAAAAACTTTATTTTCTTTTTCGAATTTGTAACCGGTCTTGTTCGACCAGGACTCGTAGTCAAGCCTCGGGTATAAATATTAGAACCTGACTATTGTAATAGACATCTCTCATCGATCAACCAAATAAGTATCTTTGCTTTTCGACTCAGGCCACCCCTTAGGAGTAGGAGTAGAGTAGATTTTGACGAGTTCTTTGGGCAAGCAGGGCTGCATCGGATGACCTGACCTCTGGCTTGTTTGTGAGTATCCGTCACGACTTATATTGTTACTTGCAAGGCTACACCAGATGACTGATCTCTTGCAAGTCGTGGTATAAGTTAGTTATCGATCTATATTGTTATTTATAAGGCTGCAATAGACGACTGATCTCTTACAAATCAGGGTATAGATAAGTTATCGATTCGTATCAACCTTTACAAGGCTGCAACAGATGACTGGTCTCTTGTAAACGTTGGTATTGATCAAAGTTATCGATATCGTGCTAAATAGTTTACTGTTTAACACAATATCACCAATTGCATGATCTAGATTGAGATTTTTTGGTCTTATTGTTCTGATCTATCATCTGCTGATTACTATCACAATTAAATTCAATTCTTAACGTTAGATCCTGTTTGATGACTAATCCATCTCGATCTTGATCGTACATGGCGGGTGCTGTCCACCTGGCCACTTGGCTGTATATTTGGAACTGTCTGGATAAACACCGGCATGTTCAACCTTAAATTACTGATCAACTTTCTCTCCTTGTCAATTATAGGGTCAAATTGACTGGCACGCCCTCGGTCACGACCATCCGGTCTAGTGTCCATTCCTAAGCCTGGAGAGAGCTCGGGATCTGCTCCGCGCGGTTTGTCTCAGCTTGCTTCGTGTGACAGCGGAGGATGACCCAGTCACTTTTTGCCGCCCATAGGGTTTGGTTGCAGGTCTTGGGCAATCCACACACACTTCCTCCTTCAACCCTTTAGAATAGATACAGACAAAGCTCTTGAGCTAACAATCATTATTCCTTCATTGTCATGGCGCTGCTTCTCCATCTCCTCTAGTGGTAGTAGTGGCATTAGGAGAAGGCCTTCAAGATTGGGTACTACTAGCATCTAGGCGCAACGGGGGCGGCTTGATCTAGGTGCTAGTGGAAGTTTTGCGATTAAGGGGATCACTTTTGTGGGTAATCTAGGGGTACTGAATGCACTT